AAAGTTCTTCGGTGAAACAAGTGGAGATTCAACTAGACATGCACACGGGCCGATCCGACCCGACCCAGCGGACCGACTCGATTTGGTTCGGAATAGGCCCGTGGCCAACCAGCCTTCAATAGGGCCCGTGGTTTGATCGGGTCGGCTTCAAGCGTCATATATGTAATTATTGTATCGTTGGATTGGTTCCAGTTCGATCTTTTTTTTTAAAAAAAAAAAATTCATTATATTTAATTATTTTTATTTTGTTTAATGGATTGGATCGGCCCGAACCAGCGGTTCGAACCAATATGGAATTGGTGGTTCACCAAATCAGCTCAAAATTGCCAGCTCAGGCGACTAACCTTAGCCCAGACCCGACGATTTTGACCCAGGCCTGAAATCAGATTTAGCCATGTCTAGGAGATAGGTTAAACAAAAAAACATTTTCCTCTTTGTTGTCAACATTTATATCATTGAAATAACAAATGAAACAAAAAATTTTCTCAAGAATAAAATACTATTTATTTATCTAACTTTTTTTTGTCTTCGGTTCCATTAAAACAATTTATAAAAATAAAAATATTTATTATATATATATATGTATATTTAAAAAATTATTTTGCATATTTTCAACAATCAATCTTACTAATTATTGTTTTATTATTTTTATACCACATCATTACTAATTACATTTTTATGTTATATTCGTTCAATAGCAAAAATGGATATTGTTCAATTCAAATTTGAAAATGGCGACTATGAATATTTGTTAAAAATTTTGGACCGATTTTCCAATCATTTTGGACGGATTTTTCAACTATTCCTTAGATTTTGCTCAACTTAAAATTTCAAAGTATCGACTTCAAAATCTGGTGTATGTCAAAATGTATACATTTCAAAATAAAAAAAACACCAATAAAACATTTTTTAGATATAAATATTTTAAACAATTTCGGATCGATTTTTTTTCCATTATTTTGGAAGAATTTTCCAATCATTCCTTAAATTAAGGATTTTGTTCACTTAAAACTTTCAAATATCGACTTCAACATATGGTGTATCAAATTGTATGTATTTCAACATTTTAAAACACCAATGCACACGTGTTTAGATATAAACTTAAAGAGGCGTATTTAATTGGGATTTATAAAGACTTTTAAAAACTTTTTAGGATTTTAGAAATCTTGGTGTATTTAATTTAGACTTCTCAAGACTTTTAAAAGTCTTGAGGTATTCAATTAGAATTTTAAAAAGTCTTACAAAATCATGTGGTATTTAACTTATTTGAGACTAGGATTTGTAAGGACTTTTTAAGATTTGCTGGGATTTCTAAAGAAAAAAAACATATACGAAATCTCACTATAAATACCACCTCTAAACTTGGTATTTCACAAGATTCCTCCCAAATCTGAAAATCTCAAAAAATCTTAAACCTTAAAAAGTCTTTCAATGTCACTCGAATTCTGAAATGAATACACCCACTTAACGAATTTTGTTCAATTCATTTATTTTTTAAATCACACCTTTCCAAAATTTTGACTTATTAAATGTTTAAATTTTCATGATTTCGAATTCTGAATCATCTGTTGGATTAATTTGTATATATTAATGTTATATACTCTTATGTTTTTCGGATAATTTTTTTACACATTCTATATATTAAGTTATATATGTGTGTGTGTGTGTGTGTGTTAAATTTAAATGTCCTTAGACATATTTGGGTTACAAGCTAGTTTAGAAAAACTTCAGGTAAATTCAATCTTTTTGAGAATAATATATAATATTTTACGTATTCATATCTATGTTATATAATATTTTAGGTTTTTTAATATATATTAAACATTAATGTTCTATGTTATTTTAGACAAGTTCATTTTATATTGTAAACTATATCACATTTTAACCCCACTTCTAATTCATAATTTTTATTCAACATTGTTTACTAACTCATTAATTTGTAATTATTATTTTGTATAGTTTGTCGGTGCATCGCACGGGCTACGTACTAGTATGGGAAAAAAAAATTAGAACTACAATTAAAAAAAAAAAATCTGACAAATGTGGACTTTTTAAAATGAGAAAATTACTCCATCCACCACCAATATTACTTTTATTTGCACATATATTGTCAATATTTTTTATTTGTAGTACTACCCAAATTATGAATGAAAAAAAAAAGTCGTCCGCCTTCTCCCTTGAGAAGTATCCAGAACTTCTCCATCTTCGTCTAATTCCTTTGCGCTTCCACTCGTCTACTTCCTCTCCGCCTCCACCATCTCACATCAGCAATGGTGAAATTGGGCGAAGGGGAAAACGGTGGATCGTGGAAGACCGCATCGATGGGAACTCAGTGGTCCTGTCACTGACGGGACTGATTGCTTCGAGTGGTCATGGATTTCCGATGGAAACTCAATAGTTACAGACAACTTCGTTTAGGTGTCCAATATTCCGACGAGAATGCCGGTGAAGATCCCAAGATCCGAATCACAATCAAAGATGATGGACCGATCGATAAGAGATTTATGGAAACGTTTATCTCCAAGATGTTTGTCTTTCAAAAACTAAAGCAGTACATCGAGGGCCAAAGACGATTTGGATGTAAAGGTCGCCACCCAAAGAAACCAACACCTGGATCTGGTGCGAAGATTGTGTTACTTTTGTGTATATCTTATGTATATGTTTAGTATATAATGACAAACTTCGTTTATCATTATATACTAAACATATCTTCGGTATCTTCGTTTATCATTATATACTAAACATATCTTCTGTGTATATCTTATATATATCTTTGGTATATTTAAGTATATAATGACTAGATTGGTTTATCTTTTATTTATATCTTTTGTGTATATTTTCTGTATATCTTCTGTATATTTAAACTGATTGAATCGAATCCAAGACCCAGATTAAGACCCGAAACCGCAACCATGACAATCGAGCTTCTGTCGGATCTTGATGAGGACTACCCTATTCAG